TATCTATTATTTGACTATAAAAAAAAAACTGATAAATTTAGATAGCAGATCTTTGACCCAGGCTCAAATCCCCGATCTACCACTGAGTTATGTATGACTTAGATGGATTACAAGCTAATTTCTTCATCTGTAAGGCAGGAAGAGAAATAAATTCAACTGCTCTTTAGAGCTGTCATAAGGTGCAGACACCACAGCAGTGCTTGTCCGAGTACATTGTAGACACTGTCCCCTATCTCCTTCAGTGTCTCCTCACTGCACCCCATGTATTTTCCTATTCTTCACATTACCAAGAGACAAAACAGAGAAAAATACAAAATGACTTCAAAGATATGGAGATTGGACTGGTGAGATGGCTCAGCTTGTTGCTCAGTCTTATGATCGGAATTGGATCCCAGGGAGAGATAGAATTCCCCAAGGTTGTCCCTGACTGCATACACACCCCCGCAAATGTACACACATACACACACACGCACACACACACACACAGGTGGGAGGGAATTTATATAGTCCCTGTTCTGATCCTACTACTAGTGCTAGCTTGCTTCTGAGGCAGACTAAAAGACTGGCACACTTCTGGAGATATCTGGCATAGATTCCTTTCTTCCTGGTGTGTCTTTACACAGAAGGCTCACAGCCTCAGACTTTCACTGGCTTGTTAATCCCCAGGTGACCTCCACAAATTCACTATTGTCATTTGCTGTGAGTAAATCCCATCTTCTCTTGTGCTAAGTCAACAACTACTGCTGGGTTGGTTTGTTGTTGTTACTGTTTGTTACAGACAAGGTCTTTTGCAGTCTACAAATCTTAAGGATGAAGGCTGGCCTTGAACTCTTGATCATCCTGCCTTTGCCTTCTTCTTAAGTGCTGGGATTATGGGTATGTGCCCAGTGCTCAGATTTTTCTTTTCTTTTTTTTTTTTTAAAAATATTTATTTTATGTATATGAGTATATTGTCACTGTCTTCAGACACACCAGAAGAGGGCATTAGATTCCATTACAGATGGTTGTTAGCCACCATGTGATTGCTGGGAATTGAACTCAGGACCTCTGGAAGAGCAGTTCATGCTCTTAACCACTGAGCCATCTCTCCAGCCGGATCAGATTTTCCTTATGAGACAATGTGGTGCTATTCTTGGATGTCAATTTGACTATATCTGGAATTAAAACCCAAGCTGTTAGGTACACCTTTGAGGGATTTTTCTTGATCACTTGAAGTGGGAAGACCAAGCTTAAATCTGGGCCAGTTTCTGGTGGCAGTCTATGTAAGGGACATGGAAGGAAGCTCTTGCCTTTGCCCGTTTGCCCTCACTCTTGCTGGCTAGTTCATCCCTTCACTGATTAGAACCTGCTTCTCTGAGATTCTGACACATATTGAAGACCAGCTGAGACATTCAGCCTTGTGGATCAAGCAGCTATTGGATTCTTGGACTTCCTGTCAGCATTCAGCCATGGTTGGAATAGTCAGACCACAGCCTGTAAGCTACTCTAATAAATTCCATTCATATTATATATTATATTATATATAATTCATATTATATATGTATATATTCTTTCCATTTTTTTTCCCTATAGAGCCCTAATACAGACAGAATCTTGTTCTGTGACACTGGTTAGTCTTGAACCTGAACCAGTCTTCCTGCTTTAGCCCTAGGGTGCTGGAATTACAGGCCTGTGCCACAGTGCCAGCTCAATGCCATACATATGCCACGCAAATCTCTTCTTTCACTTGCCAGAAGTCTCTCCTAGAACTTTCAATAAGACTCCTAAGACCTGGAGTTGTTGTATTTGCTGACTGTGTAACAAAGACCAGCTTTTTCAGTACCGACTTTGAAAACATTCATAGGTCTCACAGCTACACTAAGATTTTCTGTGTTTAGAGATCTGGTTCCTTCAGTCAAGTTATTGGACTTTTCCTTGTGTACTTTATAACAATTCAAATCCAACACATCTCATTAATGCTAAATATGACTTAAACCAATAACTTCTGATTTATTTTACCCTCAGGGCACTAATTATGCAATCAGAAATCTCATCCCTCCCCCCCAGAACATGGCCTCCAGAACAGGATGGCCATGTGCCTCTCTGTTAGTAAAGAGCTCTCAATTTTATTCATTGCAAAGCTTGTCACAAAGCCAACGCAGGACCTCTTTGCACTGGTCTTGTTGGATCTCCAAGGTTCATTTCCCTACTTGTTTCTCGAGTCCTTCATAATGTCCACTTACTCTCCTTTTCCTTTCCTTCGTTTCTCCCTCTTGGACACTCCTTAGCATCTTAAGTGCATTCAGAGCAAAGCTTCGGTAAAACAGAACACCTTATTATCATGGACCTCATGTACTGAGCTGGGAACTGGAGACATCCATCAGCTAATCTTCAAATCTGTAATTTCAAACAGCACTCAGGAGCATGAGAGAAAATAAATGAACCCTGAGAGAAATCTCTGGAAGTGAAGGCTTCATCTAGGAAGTAGCAGCTGAGCCCTGGAGAAAAGGATAGTGTGTGCCAGGTGCCATCACTCTTAAGAGTCTGGAGTGGGAAGAGAACCAGGCCTGTTCCTGGATCGATTCCTGCCAGTCTTACAGTTGGTATCATAAATACTTACAGAAGAAATGGACAATGTGAATAGTATAGAATCAATGAAAATGTGTCCTTGTTTTGATATGTATCAATTAATGACTTGAGCTGTTAGCAAAAGAGATCCAGAGTAGAAGGCAGAGGGGAATGTTAGAGTCTGAGATAAGGTTTGAAGCAGTAGTAGTAATACCATACTCTAGCCTTTAATAAGTGGATGGCATGGTGGAATAGCTCTCTAGAGGCCGAGACAGGGAAGGCTTTCCATGAATTCAAGGCCAGTCTGGGCTACACAGTGAGTTCCAGATCAACCCAGGTTACAGAGTGAGACCTGGTCTCAAAAAGCAAACATAGCAGAATGTGTAGAGAGTTTTAGCCTTTGTCCCACCAGCAAATGGACACCTGCAAAAAGTAAAAAGAGAATTCACTGCTTTAATGAGTCCTGTTATATGTTAGACATCATGCAAAAGAGTTCTTGGAAAAATTTGCTACTATTATCCCAATTTTACAGGCTAAAGACAGAGGAATGAGGCTTGCTTATTCTTTTAGTTAACAGAAGCATGACCCAAAGCCACGAATCGCAACCCCTATATTAGCCTATGAGCAAGAGAGCGGTAATAATGTACAGCTGAGTTAATCCTCTTGGCAGAATGAGCCAGCTGTGGAACTGAGGGCAAAGGGGTGTCAGAATTTAATGAACTAATCATTGAATTTAACCCCTCCCTATTAATAAAATAACCTTTTAATTATAGTCTGGCTTCCATATAGATTTTTCTGCTGGAAGGTAATGGACTGACCAGTCTACACAGGCATTTTGGTCTGTTTGGCAATTTTATTACTCATTCTAAGTTACTCTTAATGGCTGAGCCATCTCTCTAGCCCCTAAAACAAGTAAAAATTATCAAAGTCTTGACTATTTTCTCATGAAGGGCTAGTTTTAAAAATAAAACAAATGATTAAGAACAAAATATTGCCAGGCTGCCTGCAAGGATGTGGTTTCCGACAAGGAGATGAGGCTGTGTCCCTTAGCTTCTTTGTTGAGGCTCCTAGTACAGCCTAAGCGATTCCTTTGTTTCCCACAGAGCCTTTCTCAAACTCCCACCTTTGCACTGGCACACACCCTAGAGCGAAATGCTCCTTGCTTTTCACAGTGTACCTAATTTTCTGAGCCATGGCAGCTGGCAGCCGGAGGTTGTCATTCAGCTTCAGTGTCAAGTGCATCTTACGTTAGGAGCAGGCTGTTCCCTAACATCATAAAACCCAATGTTCTTGACAAACGCTGGTTCTAAGAAGCCACCAGGCTTCGGGCCTGCCCTAAGGCTGGTCCCAACGGTTTCCTGACACTGGCCTGGTAGTGGGTCTCTGCATGCAATTAGCTCCAAACTCCACTCTTTGTCCGAGTTTTATTTCATTTTTTCCTCGTCTGTTAATTAATTTCATGTGCAAAACTGAGACAACTGCAAAGGTTTAAAAGAGAAAGTGTCATAAAATCGAGGCCATTTGACCTTGACAAGCTCATCTGAAGCACATTTGAAGGCCTGAATAGCGAGCGCCCTCCCCAACACACACGCAAGAAACATTCTTATTCATATTCTCTCGAACAGACTGAAACATCCATTTCTTCCTAGGAAGCATGGAAAACAAAGCCACGCAAAGTCAGATTTTAGGACAGAAAAGGATTCAGCACAGTCTCAGACTCCGAGGGTCCACGAGGCCCGGCGAGGGGGGGAGGGGAGGCCGGCAAGTGGCAAATGTTTAGAAAAACAATACAGCATTCCTGTTGGCTTTACAACCATTTTCCCCAGAGCAGTTACTCGAGACATGACTAACGGTTGGGCTAGAGCCCCTCGGAATCTCTCGTCCCCCAGAGGGAACCGCGTAGGACGAATAAGGGCGGTGCATATCAGCCTCCATTGGGCAGCCAACATGGCCACCTTCACATGACAGAAGGCCACCCGGCGCCGGTGCACGAGGTGGCGAATGGCGGGGCGGGGGGTGGGGGTGGCAAGAGAGACCCTCGGCGACAGCCACAGCACAAAACGGCCGCCACCCCCGAGGCCGCCGCTGGGGGGCGCGCGCGCCGGCAGACCTCCGTGGGCAACGGTCGGAAGGGATGTACCATGTCGTCGCACGGGGGAGACCGTCCCTCAAATCCAAATTGTCTCTTCTCCAGAAATCAGCAAGGGAAAGGGCGTAAAACCCAAGTCTACTCACTTACTTACATCTCCATTTAACCGACGCCATCAAGATGACTAACTACCGGCAGGGGGCGCGGTTAGCTCTGATCGCTTCCCCTGTTCGGTAGAATGGTCCAGCCCGAGCTCCGCTCGGCGGACCACCCAGCCAACCCCCATCCGCCCGCCCGTGGCGCATTGGCGCGCGACGCCGAGGGGCGGGGCCCGAGCCGGGCGCGCGCGCGCGGGCGCTGCTCTATAAATACTGGGCCGCTTCGCCCGCCGCTTCGTTCGCTTCGAGTCTCCAGGCTGCCTTGAGCTGAGGCGATCCTCCCTTTGCGTCCTCCGCAGTCCTCTGCCTCGCCGCCGCTCCGTCTCCTCGGTCACCCTCTCTCACCGCCGCCGCCATGAACGGGCAGCTCAACGGCTTCCATGAGGCGTTCATCGAGGAGGGGACGTTCCTCTTCACTTCAGAGTCTGTAGGGGAAGGTCACCCAGGTGAGCCAACGGGGACTCGGAGAAGGGAAGGGCGGAGGGCAGTGGCGCTGGGGCGTCGAGGCCCAGGTCTCCGGCGGTGGGCACAGCAGCGGCCGCGCGCTTCCCTCGTGGCGCCGCGAGTTTGCAATATGTGGCCCCGCTCCCCTCCCCCTTTCGCCGCTCCTCATCCGGCGGCGCGCCCCGCCATGCGGAAGGTTCCAGAAATCGAGAAGGGCGGGGGCTCGAGGCAGTTTGAGATCGGCGCGGGGAGGGCACTGCTTCCTCCTCTTTAGTCCCGTCGTCTGGAAAAACCTCAAGTGGGCGACCCCGCCCCGCGTGCTCGCGTCCGGCCGCCGGGAGCGCGCGCCCCGCATTGCAGCGGGTACCACGTGTTCGCCGCATGTGGAATTGGGACGAAGCGGAGCTGGCGGCCTCTACCCACCCGACCCCTGGGTTTGGAAGTCGGGGCTGGTGTCTGTAAAGGTCCCATTTCTATTATCCATGGCTTCCGGCCTCTAAAAAGACTTAAGAGCATGGGTGGATATGCCCTTAGGCTTTCAAGGTGACAGCCGCTGACTAAATATAGCGCGAGTTGGAGAAGGCACCCCTTATTTGGAGTGTGCGTGAAAAGGATGAAGTGCATGAGAATCAAGTGCCTACTCCCATCGCATTAGCTTTCCTTTTAAAGTCTTCCCTTTGGTCTTTTCCTATGATTAAAGGAGGATTTATTTCTTGTTTCCTTAAGCCTTTGTCCACTGAACCGCCATGATGGGGTCGGTTACAATGAATCTATTATATGGAACTTTGGGTCTCAGACGGAACTTAACCATCCAATAAATACTAATACTCAGTTTGAGCTGTTTCTGTCCTTAGGGGTCCCACAGCAACATTACTACATGGTCTGTCAGGAGGATCTTGATGAGTGATGGCTGAAAGACAAGTGCTGCTGTGGTTCTTCCCACACTCCCCTCAAGGAAAGGGGTACCTCCGTGTCGATTGAACCACTACTTATTACAGCTAATAGATTCGATCTTAAGGTTCTATGGCTCCAATACACATTTTTGGGGTGGTGGAGTAGTAAAAAAAAATTCAGGAGACGAGCCAAGCATGGTGGTACACTACTATAATCCCAGCATTTAAAGTATGGAAGCAGTTTAGTTTGTCAGCCTGGGCTATGTGTAAGATCCTGTCTCAATACCACAAACATTCCAGACCAGGATACTGTCATTTTCCAAATTGGTAAATCAAGGAGAAATTGAGTATGTTTTAGAACACACTTAAACCGTTTCCTGGATCATTTTCTGTTTGCTGCTGTTCCTTCTGTTCATGGTTAAAAAAATCTTATTTCCCTAATAAGCTGGTGTTAAGTTTCTAGAGTGGCTTTGTTTGATTCATTCAGAACCCCAAGTACATAGGTTTGATACTAGTTATATAACAAGAAACTGAGTATTGTCTAATAATAGGAGAAATGGACTGGTTTAGGAAGTTAGTGACCTGACAGTTAAATGTGAGGGATAAAATAGAACAGTTGTCTTTTAAATACTCTGTGAAGTTATTTCCGATAGTAGGCTTTGAGATATCAAGACATGGCTGTTCTGTTTAACATAGGAAATTGTTTCACTAGGAACTTAGACTTTTGAAATAATCTGAAATATTTTGAGGTGGAACTGAGTTCGTTTTAAGTGTAAACTATATAATGTGTTAAATAAATATGCTCAAAGTTACTGCCTAACTGAATTGATGAGTTTATGTTACTAATGGTAAGGCCACAATATCAAGTTTTCAGTCAAGTAAAATATATTCCTATATACAACAGTTTTTATATTCCAGCAAATAGCTCCTGGTAAAACAGTGCTTTAATAATAGGAAAGCTCACCATACTTCATGCACTGATGTAGAATTGTTCACTTCAGAGATATGTGGGGAGTGCCAGTGAGATTGCTCAGGGTCTTAAGAGTGCTTGCTGCCAAGCCTGTTGTGACCTGAGTTCAGTCCCTGGAACCTAGGACACAACATAATGGAGAAAACCAGATTCCTCTTACTGTTTTCTGATCTCTACATGAACACCATAGCACATGTATGCACAGGTAATGCAGCAGTTTTAAATTTGTTGTTTACTGTAAGAAGTTCAAGTCTGGAATGATGGCACATGCTGTCCCAACAGTCTGGAGACTGAAGCAGAGATTGCCATGAGTTGGAGCTGAGATTAGGTATGCTGAGACCCAATCTTGAATCAAAAGAAAAAGCCAACATAAATGGTGGTGGTCTATACCTTTAATCCTAGCACTTAGGAAGCAGAGGCAGGTGGGTCTCTCTGAGTTCAAGGCCAACCTGGTTTACAGAGCAAGTTCCATGACAACCAGAGCTGCACAAAGAAACCTATCTTGAAAAACAAGACTCAGCTGGGCGGTGGTGGCACACGCCTTTAGTCCCAGCACTTGGGAGGCAGAGGCAGGCGGATTTCTGAGTTCAAGGCCAGCCTGGTCTACAGAGTGAGTTCCAGGACAGCCAGGGCTGCCCAGAGAAACCCTGTCTCGAAAAACAGAAAAAAAGAAAAGAAAAACAAGACTCTAGAGATCCCCTATCCCCTACATTGCAGATACAGTTATAATTGTTTGATATTGTGATATGATTCTGTCACCTATAAATTCACAGCTATATTTGGCCGTCAGGTTGGACATAAACTGCTAGTTACATGTTAAGATAGGGTTAGTAGTAATAGTTAAATTGAACCAGGAATTTTTATTTTCCAGATAAGATTTGTGACCAGATCAGTGATGCTGTTCTTGATGCACACCTTCAGCAGGACCCTGATGCTAAAGTGGCTTGTGGTAGGTATAGAATACTTGCTTATGAATGGCAAAAAGGGTGTTTGAAGCAAAGCTTGGTGGTATAGGTAATACCAGCTACTTGGAAAGTTGAGGCTGGAGGTAGTAAGTTATGTGAGTAAGTTAAATGTCTATGTGGGTAACTTACCAAGACCTCACTTCAAAAATAGAAAACCCGGGGATACAGCATATATAACATGATTGAGTTTCTCAGCACATTCCCCCCCCCATAATATTTTAAGTATAAACTTTTGTTTTATTAGAAACTGTTGCTAAAACTGGAATGATCCTTCTTGCTGGGGAAATTACATCGAGAGCTGCCATTGATTACCAGAAAGTAGTTCGTGAAGCCATAAAGCACATTGGCTATGATGATTCTTCCAAAGGTGTGTTTTAGAGTTTTGTTTTGTTTTTTCTTGTAAACCCATTTTTGCAGATCTAGAATCTGATGCTAGTAGAAGCTTCTAGAATGTTCCTAGTAATCCTTGACTGATTGCATAGTTATACCATATCCTCTCATCTTTCTGATTCTGCCTATTCTGTCCTCTAAAATGCGACATTTAGTGTAAAATCGGTCTCCTGTCCTACAAATACAGTAACAGTCACATCAATAGAGTGTCCAGACATGATGGTACACCTGTAAACTCAGTTTCTGGATGTCAAAGCAGGAGTTAGCTGCTTAGTTGTAGTTGGAATCTAGCCCGGTTAGAGACCTTGTTTCAAACCATAATGTGGGGGGGGGGATTAAGTGAATATGTGGATATGGTCTTTTAAAGAAGTGCTTGACCACTTTGCTTTGGCATGTCCAGATTTCTAGCAGCACAGCACTACTGTTAACATTTGGGAGTTAAAATGAAGGTTATTGGAACACCTTGTTGTTTATAGGGTTTGACTACAAGACTTGTAATGTGTTGGTTGCCTTGGAACAACAGTCACCAGATATTGCCCAAGGTGTTCATCTTGACCGGAATGAGGAAGACATTGGTGCAGGAGACCAGGTATTGTGACGGTTTATTAGGATCTCTTTTAATATTAAATTCTGAAGCTTGTATTGATCACTTCTCCATATTTTTAGGGTTTGATGTTTGGTTATGCCACTGATGAAACTGAAGAGTGTATGCCTTTAACCATTGTCTTAGCACACAAGCTAAATGCTAAACTGGCTGAACTACGCCGCAATGGCACATTGCCTTGGTTACGCCCAGATTCTAAAACTCAAGTAAGTGGTGATCTTAAACCTACATGTCTCAAATTACATTAAAATTTCCAAGTTACTTAATTATAGCTGACTGGGGAGGATAGTACTTGTCTTTTTGTTATTTAAACTTATGATAAAGAACCCACTATAAAGCTGTTTGATTAGACAAGTGTTCTATTTTACATTCAAGGTGACTGTGCAGTATATGCAAGATCGAGGTGCTGTGCTTCCCATCAGAGTCCACACGATTGTTATATCTGTTCAGCATGATGAAGAAGTTTGTCTTGATGAGATGAGGGATGCTCTAAAGGAGAAAGTGATCAAAGCTGTCGTGCCTGCAAAGTACCTTGATGAGGATACAATTTACCACCTACAGCCAAGTGGCAGATTTGTTATTGGTGGGCCTCAGGTAATATAAAATGCTTCGGTTTATTACTGGCTACTACTTAAAATTTGTGGCTGCCACTGTTTTTTCCCTAGTCCACTCTGTTCCTTTTACACACACCCTTATCTTTTGTAGCCTAGGCTACCATAGAATTCACTGTGTATCTAATGTTATGGCAGTGTGCAGCTTCAACACCTTGTCCTGCCTTAGCCTCCCAAGTGCTAGGATTGTGGGTGTGAGCTACATACAAATTTAGAATGGTTTCTTTTTCTTTTTTTTTCTTTTTTCTCGAGACGGGGTTTCTCTGTATAGCCCTGGCTGTCCTGGGAATCACTCTGTAGACCAGGCTGGCCTCCAACTCAGAAATCTGCCTGCCTCTGCCTTCCAAGTGCTGGGATCAAAGGCACGTGCCACCACTACCTGAATCACCTATTAGAAAAATTACATGGCCAGGAGTGGTAGCACACCTTACATCCCAGTACTTAGGAGGCAGGGAAAAGCAGGTAGATCTCTTTGAGTTACAGGCCAGCCTGGATTACAAAGCTGGTTCCTGGATAGTCCGGGCTATTACACAGACAGATTATGTGGTGGGGGAGGGGAGGAAAATTACATGACTTAAATCCTATAATTCCAGGGTGATGCTGGTTTGACTGGCCGAAAAATCATTGTGGATACTTATGGCGGTTGGGGAGCTCATGGAGGAGGGGCCTTTTCAGGAAAGGATTATACCAAAGTGGACCGCTCAGCTGCTTATGCTGCTCGTTGGGTGGCAAAATCCCTTGTTAAAGGAGGTCTGTGCAGGAGGGTTCTTGTTCAGGTATGTAATGAACATTTACATGGGAGAGAAGGGTACTTGGTAAAATATTTCAAATACCTCCTATTCTATAACAATGTATTACTGACTTTTAGGTCTCTTATGCTATTGGAGTTTCTCACCCATTGTCGATCTCCATTTTCCATTATGGCACTTCTCAGAAGAGTGAGAGAGAGCTATTAGAAATTGTAAAGAAGAATTTTGATCTTCGCCCTGGGGTCATTGTCAGGTAAAGATGGTAAAACCTATTGCTAGTGAGAAGTAGGGGGTTGGGACATATATACTAAAACCTGAGGAGGGAAAGGTAGACTCCTCATGAAGGGAAACAAATTTTAATTCCTAGAACATGCCAATATTTTAAATTGCCTGGAGAGGGACATAGCTGATAAAAGTTAGTGTTCTGTGACTTAAAATAACATTCTAGAAAGTTCTCCATCTTTGATTCTTAGCTTTGTGCTTATCTTAACTAAGGGTGCTACATTAAGAATTAATAAGCTAAAGTGGGATGCTCAAAGTTACAAAGAAAATAACCATAGTGGTCAGTGTTGGACCTTGGTAAGTATTCGATTGAAATTCCTAAGAATGATAAGTTTTCATTTGTCAAGCCAGGGCTGGAAAACAAGAACTGTAGTTATTAATAAGGACTGTGCAAGTAACACAAGGGAAGTAACAAACATTTTTGCCATGAACTTTTTTCCTAGCAAACCCCAGGGAGAACTGAACTCATTTGCCAGAGCTCTTGAAATGAGTCTTGCTGATTGTTTTGCTTTGTTTTAAATTTAATGCTACATATTAAGTTATGGACTTGTATATTCCAGGGATCTGGATCTGAAGAAGCCAATTTATCAGAGGACTGCAGCCTATGGCCACTTTGGTAGGGACAGCTTCCCATGGGAAGTGCCCAAAAAGCTTAAATATTGAAAGTGTTAGCCTTTTTTCCCCAGACTTGTTGGCGTAGGTTACAGAGAAGCCTTCAAGCTCTGAGGGAAAGGGCCTTCTTCCTAAATTTTTCTGTCCTCTTTCAGCTCCTGATCAGTTGCAGTCACTCTAATCAATGACATGAATTTTAGCTTTTGTGGGGGACTGTAAGTTGGGCTTGCTATTCTGTCCCTAGGTGTTTTGTTCACCATTATAATGGATATAGTGAGCATAGGTGACCCATGTAACTGCCTAGAAACAAACACTGTAGTGAATAATGCTTTGAAATCGAACCTTTGTGCCCTATCACCTAATCCTCCAAAGTCCTAATTGCAATTACTTTCCCACCAGATGCTGAAAATGTCCTTGTAATGTGCACGTAAAGTTCTTGTAGTTTGACTATAGACTCTGGCAATGCCACAGCCCTGTCAGCATGAATTTGTAATGTCTTGAGCTCTATTTATTGAATGTGAAGCCCCTTCCCTTATCCTCCCTGTAACTCAGTCATTTCTAATTATGTAGTTCTTTGTCGGGGAGTATTCCTATCCAATCAATCTTGCATGAAGCGAAGGTTTCAGTTGGAGCTCTAGCCTGACTTAAAAAAAAAGGCAGTTACAATTAAAACATCTCCCTGGTGCTTATGCTATTAATTGCCACCTCAAACAGCACCAAATCAAAATCTCTCCACTTTTCAGCTGTCTTTGGAGGACGTACGTAATAAGGTTTTATTTAGTAAACCAATCCTATGCATGGTTTCAGCACTAGCCAAACCTCACCAACTTTTAGTCTAGAAAAACAGGCACTTGGCACCCTTGTGATATACAGAGAAGTCACAGGGCAGTACCTGAGGGTCTGTAGGTTGCACACTTTGGTACCAGGTAACTTTTTTTTCTTTATAAGAAAGAGTACTCCACACTGCACAATAGCTCCTCCCAGGGTTTTAACTTTGTTTTATTTTCAAAACCAGGTCCAATGAGCTTTCTGAACAGCTGGTGTAGCTACAGAGAAACCAGCTTCCTTCAGAGAGCAGTGCTTTTGGCGGGGAGGAGGAAATCCCTTCATACTTGAACATTTTCTAATTGCTTATTTATTGTATTCTGGGGTATGGCGTAAGTACAGAGAAGCCATCACCTCAGATGGCAGCTTTTAAAAGATTTTTTTTTTTCTTCTCAACACCATGATTCCTTTAACATGTTTCCAGCATTCCCAGGTAGGCCAAGGTGTCCTACAGAAAAACCTTGGGTTAGACCTACAGGGGGTCTGGCTGGTGTTAACAGAAGGGAGGGCAGAGCTGGTGCAGCTGGCCATGGAGAAAGCTGACTTGGCTGGTGTGGTACAGAGAAGCCAGCTTGTTTACATGCTTATTCCATGACTGCTTGCCCTAAGCAAGAAAGTGCCTTTCAGGATCTATTTTTGGAGGTTTATTACGTATGTCTGGTTCTCAATTCCAACAGTTTAATGAAGATCTAAATAAAATGCTAGGTTCTACCCAAACTGTGCCCACTTGTCCATTGTTGTATCCCAAATTAAAATTTATAGCATCTGCCACCCGTTGCCAGCAGTAAAGTTTTCAACTAGGACTAAGATAAAGTCATGGCTAAAAGGTCAGTGATTCAGAAAAGCCTATCTTACACGGTGCATACACCATGGTGTGTGGAGGTCAGGACAACATGCAAGAGCTTTATTCACATTCAGCGCATGAGGCCCTGGGAATGAACACTGTCTGGAGGCTTTGGCCATCAAGTGCCTTTTCAATAAGCACTTGGATGGCAGAAGCAAGTATATTCTCTTGTTCAAGGCTAGCCAGTTCCCAGGAACAGGGATGAAGGGGCTTCTGTGGTGGCAAGAATTTTTAGTCTGTATGCTAGGTAGGCATTTTGCTTTTTAGCACTAAAAACATTTAGGAGCTTTTAAAGTTTTAAAATAGACTAGTTTCCCCAAAGTGTAGCTTTAATTTATAGCAAACAGAAACCCTGCTACAGTGAGGTTATATACAAAGTTTATTGATTTTCTTTGCCTGATGGTAATGGCAGCATGTTTCTTTAATCCTAGCACTTGGGAAGCAAATACGAACATAGTTAAATTTCCAGGCGTTTAAGAAGAGTGGCTCATGTATCCATCCCAGCATTTAAGAGATTGAGTAAACCTGGGCTACTTATACTTAGCAAGTCCTTATCTTGTAGATGCTTGTTTGCTCAAGACAGGAATGAGATTGTCCAGTAGCAAGAACAGGACAATTGGGAGTTCAAGATCGTCCTCAGCTACATAAATTTATATTTGAGGGGGTAGCCTGGGGTAAGTGAGGCCATATCTAAAGTGCTCAACTACATAGATATGCTTGTGAGATCCCAAAAACTAGTTTGAGAGCCCTTAAAAAAACTAAGGTCCTGAGAAATACTAGGTGCATGGGCACTAGCTAGGCCAGGGAGGATGGAAGGAAATGAATAAGCATGGGAAGTGGGGTTCAGGGCTAAGGACAAGCACAAAGTGAGTGTATGCTGGAGATGGGTGGAGTAATTCAGCTAGAGCTTTTATAAAACAAATCTATTCCCAAGACAACTAATAGCAAAGCCTGGTTTCTCTGGCAATACTATACAATTTCCATCAACTAAATGGAGTCTCACTACTCTGGTGCTGCCCGTGAACTGATCTTCCAGACTGCTGAGGATGCACTATAGATGTACACCAGAGCCTCAGGACTTCATGAATGGGAGACTATATCAACTGAGCCCCATCGCTAGCCTCAAGCAGCTTAACTATTAATGACTTCATCTCCACTTAATTCATCCCAACATTTGGGGTGGGGGGAGAAAACTCAGTAAATCAACATAAAAGGAGCATCTCTGTATAAATTTCATACTTTGCATGAACCTTGGGTTCATTTCCCCACAAAAGTTTACAAAATCCCCCTACTGAATAAAAAATAGTGAAAGGGCATAATGCCAGGCTGTATTTCATACTGTTAAGGTAAGATCATGAAAAGGTATAAACTAGTGCTTTTCCTGTTAAAAGTGACCTGTACACGGCCGTCAGTAGTAGCCTACATACAGTGTACTATATGCATTAAAATGGATTTTTGGTTCTCCATTCTCAGGCCTAACCTGTGCAATTGGAAGTGATGACCCTACCTTGGTCTATCCCTAACTAGATTTCAGAATGAAGGATGAACAGAAGGAAGATGCGATGGGGCTTGACCAATATAAGGAAACAAAACTTCAAGGCTTATGACTCAGCCATGGCTTAGCGAGTTACCATTCACTAAGCTGATTTATATAAAAGCAAGCCATCTGGCTTCCCTATTTAGTAATGCTATTCTGATTGATGCCAGTGGTACTGAAAAACTTGCTGGCTACAAATAGGAATGATTTATAAATTAAAAACTGCCTTATTCCTTTATTACTACCTGATCACTCTTGTCACTTGGAATTAACACAAGTTTTAAGCTATACTTCAGTTTTAGTGTAAGTCTGAAAATTAAAAGCAGCAGGTTACAGGACCTTAAATCTAACATTTCAAATTGTCAACTCCTAGATGACTTTAGGTAAATTTTGCATGTTCTCCTTTCTTTAAAGGTAAAGGTCAATGCTTCTTAAAGTACAAGTATGTTAATTCAGGTACAATGCTTCAAACAGTACCAAGCACATAGCAAGTACATGGGTTCAGCTATATTCATTGTAAAATTCCTTTTCCTAAAGAGCAAGCCAACTTAAAAATGACTTATAAGCCAGGTAGCAATGTCCCAAGCCTTAAATTCCAGCACTCAGGAGGCAGAGGCTGGTAAATCTCTTGAGAGCAAGGCCAGTCTGGTCCACACGGAGATATCCTGTCTATAAAGACTAAAAGCCCTCAGTCTTGGGATTCAAATTCTCTGTTGCCTTAGATCCTGTAAGCTATAATTTTAAAGAACTTGTAGGAGGAAAAAATGTAAAGGGAAAACCAACTAGGTTTGCTGATATATATGTAATCACAAAACAAGCTGAAAAAGGGACCACCATGAGTTTGAGGCCAGCCTGGGCTGTACTGTGAAAGCCTATCTCAAAATCATTTTTCTCCAAAAAATGTCCTTTGCATAGACAATAAAGCCTATAACAGGCTGCCCCCACGTCTGCACAGAGCATCTGGACTTCATTCAGAACTCAGAATGAACATGCTCAGAATCTGGCTCTGAGGGATTAGGATTTGAAGAATCTGTGTTTGAAGCACTTGACTCATCAACTGGTTCAAATGGTCGCAAGTTTGCATATGTCACCTCTTGGGCTAGTTGCTCTAAGGAAGGGCGGCCTAATAGCAGATTTCGGAGTGAAATTCGAGTCATCAGGAAGCTGGAAAAAAAAAAAAAGGTAAACGCTCAGTCCAAATTTAAGTTTCTACATAACTCCAAAGCTGTTAGGAAACATTTGGTCTTAGACCCCCTTCACCTGAGGACACAGGTGACAAATTACAAGTTTACAAATTTGTAATTACAAATGACCTTCCACATACCAAATGCAAGCAGACCCTACTCTGAAGCTTGACAAGATTCTAGGGTAAAACAGGAATAGCTATGGAAAGGCTAAAGATTAACAGGCAGAAGTGGGTGAAGAGGGGAGAAAGATCCCTAGATCTGTTACACTAGGGGAGAGTAACCAAACTTGCAAGCACCTGATGGCAACGACAAACACTTCTGTGACTGAAACTTACCTGCGTCGAAAGACATACAGCTTTCGAAGCATGAAGCGAAGGAATCGCTCATGGAAAGGGCTATTTCGCCTGCGTTCAATTTCTTGGAGCTTCCTCTGACGTCTGAGAAAGGTTTGGACCAGAGGTGTTGGCTCAGGGCCCCCTTTTACTTCCCCTTCCAAAAGAGGCTGAAGTTCTGGAGGCAGAGGCCCTGTTTCTGCCCAGAAGACAGCAAAAAGGATCCAATGAGAAGGACCACTCTCAGAAAGGCCACTTCCATCAACTAGAGGCATCACATACTGTCTTTAATGCTTTGAGCCTATAACCCTGACTTCTAAAAGCAGGTGGTCTCTCTGTCCAAACCTCCATGCACTCACCACTTCCGTTCTCCACCTTCTCCTTTAATTCTTGCAGATACGCCAGGTCTTGCTCCAGTGCGACCTCTGTAGTGTTGACATAGACGTACATGTAGCAGGAAGGACTAGATGATACAGTATAGACTTTATGGTACTCTCCAGCAGGCAACTGGTGAGGGAACAAAGGACACGCTGCACTAACTTCCCTAGCTAGGCTACTGTCTCCCCGCTCTAACCCTGCTGGCGCTCTTGCCTTGTGCCTTGTGAGTCTGAAATTATGGCCTCTGGAATCTGGATAAGCTATTCACGCCCTCAGCGGTCCCTTTTTTTTCTCCTTCTTCCAGTGTTTTGTGTTTTGAGTTCCAGTCTTACTGTGTAGTCCAGGCTGGCCTGGGGTTCTCAGTCTTTCTGCCTCAGCCTCCTAAGTCCTGAAATTAACAGATACATGCTTCTATGCTCTGAGGAAGCCCTTGCTTTCTGAGCCTCCACTACATCACTGCACTGATGAAGACTTTTTGTTTGTAATAAATGAGCCTTGGTCACCTAAATTTCTAAAGTTCCTATTTTGTGGTACTAAATCCCCAGCCCCTCTATTGCTGTTAACCCAGCAATATATAGAGAAAATACCTGCATTTTCTCTCCTTCTTGAAGAGTCTGGTTTTTCTGTTCTGCTACCAATTCCACAATGACTTCTCCCTGCAGCAGCTGGATGCTAGTGTTGCCTAGGTCTTCACTCACAAAATTCTCCAAGTGTAGCCCTGCCAGAAGCAAGAAAGCTCACCATCCCACCCCACCTCACCAGCACAGACTGCAGACCTTCACCATTATCACCTCCAGAGTCCCCTCCCTACCCCAGCATAAGCAATGTCTCTGTGATCAAGGAAGTCAAAGACAGCAAAACCTCCCCTTGCTTTCCTCCATACCAGGGAAATCTGCAATGAAGACCACCTCAGTGTGGTTGTCCAGACTGTTCTTAATATCCTGTAACTTGGTCCTCCAGGGAGATAAGTCCATCAAGAGTGGCTGTACCCAAGGCGTGCGCTGGAAGGGGGACCAGACAGCCTGTACGATGTCCACTCGAGGGTCAAAAAGCCTTAAAAAAGGAAACCATGTTCTGAGGAGGCAACAGCCAACCACCCACCAGATTTCTGGTTCTGCTCCTTTCATCACTGAACCCATTGAGGGAATAAGATTTCCCAAAAGGAGAAATGTCTGCTGTCAGCATGTTATTGCCAGTCCATGGCAGAGAGGAGGGGAAGAATGTGAGTTAGTGGCCACCTGAGGAGAAGGCATTGTGTTAACAGTGTCTGAAAGAACAGTCAGTTCACTTTTCTCCTGGTGCCCCCTGCTGGCCCACAACCAAATCAACCCGACATGCACTAAACTGAGAGAGAGCCTTGTAAAAAGCAGACAAGTGGGAGACTTCAGCTTTTCATCTTGGCAAAAAGAACTCTGCTTCATCTTTCCCTGTCTCTGCTCCCCTTGCCCACCTCTGCTGGAAGCGGTCATTGATGGAGACCCAAATATCAAAGTAGATCTGGGGCTCAGTGACATTGTACTTGGGAAGCAGGAGGCTCAGGCAAGTGGCATATTGCTTCAGCATGTCTGCATGGTCCTTCCATCGCCGGCTCTGTGTGAATACCTGCCCCAAACCCCCATATTAGTCCCACTTTGTCACTGTCAATCTCCAAGACATGCACTGCCAATAACATAAACATCTCTCCTGCCTAACTTGACCAGGAGGGAAAAAAAGGAAGTTGTTTTCAGTGGTGAATTTTTCATTGCTAAATATTTACTTACCTTTCCAAAACATAATCTTAATTCAAAACAATGATAAACTGTCTCCACAGTATATATATTTATATAAAAAAAAAAGTTTAGCACCAGACATAATGGCTGAAACAGGACCAGCCTGAGATATACAGAAATATCTTGACTTATTAATTTAAAATATGGTCCCCTAAGATGGTTCAACGGGTTAAGACACTTGCCATGAAACCCTGATGACTTAAGTTAAATTACTAGAACTCACAAAGCTGTAGAAAAAACTAACTCTACATGTGTCTGTCTGTCTCTCATGCATGCACACACACACACACAAACACACAAAATACATTTTTTAAAAATTACAAAAAGCTCAGGGATGAGGATGTAGCTCACTGTTAAAAGTATGTGCTTAGGGCTGGTGAGATGGTTCAGCGGTTAAGAGCACTGACTGCTCTTCTAGAGGTCATGAGTTCAAATCCCAGCATCCACATGGTGGCTCACAACCATCTGCAATGAGATCTGATGTCCTCATATGAGTGTCTGGAGACAGCTACAGTGTACTCACATATAATAAATAAGTAAATAAATAAATAAAATGAAAAAAAATGTGCTTAAACATGTGTTAGGCCCTCAGTCCAGCAGCAAAAAAAAAAAAAAAGAAGAAGAAGAAGAAGGTTCCATCTTGTTTGAGAGGAAGTGCAGAGACCCAAATCGGTGTGACTTTATGGTGTAGGACCAGATAAGATCCCAAAGCCAGGGCTCTGAAGAATTGGGAGCATTGGAAGCCTCACCCCGGGGTTAAGGTAGCCCAGCTCGCCAGTGAGGCCATCACGGTAGGTGATCTTTACATGCTGGTGGGAGCGGGAGTGCACCATCATGTCCCAGGAATAGCCATACAGCCCATTTGTCCAGTTGTTGTAACCCTGGGAAGGCAGAGCACACACATCAGCTTAATGCTTCTCCACCCAACCTCATCCTCCAACAAGCAGACTAGAAAACCAAGCCCACCCTTCCCTAATCCTGCCACATCTCCACAGTCTAAGCCCAGCTTCAGTGCCTCGTGTACGGATCCAACGGACCTGAGTGAGGAAATGGGAATATGGCAGGAAGAGCTGCTCCAGAAGGTAGAGCAGGGTGAAGACGGCTCCCAGCTGGTGGCGCAGCCCTGGCTTTTGACCAGCTTTGGCCCGGGCCCTCTTATAGACACAGGAAGCACTAGGTCGGGGAGCAGCTTTGGCAGGCAGCAGCTCCTGCAGCCTTTTTGGACATCGGGCTACTAGCTTCCTAGGCCATTCGGTTGAGCAGAAGAGAGGGCTGCTGGCCAGCATGACATAGGGAAACATACCTAGAAAAGCAGAAGAAAACATCTCAGTGTGGTCACACTCCCTCTACCTCCATCCCTTATGAAGTACATCTGAAGCATTTTACTTTGATGAAGGTTTGTTTTCTTGAGACAGTCTCATGTAGCCTAACACTCAGTATGTAGCTGGGGATCACCTCGACCCGATCCTTCTCACTCTGCTTCTTCAGTGCTGGGATGAGAGGTGATACCATCACGGCTGGTCTTCTGTGATGCTGAGGATGGAACTCAGGACTTTGTGCATTCTAGGGAAGCACTGTAGCAGCTGAGCTGCATCCCAGATCTAAAAGAAGTGCTTCACTGTTCTTCCCACAGACCCTCACTGCAGCACGCTGCACCCCACAACCCTGCAGTCACTCTCCCTGCAGCTGTAGGTACTGACCAATGCTGAAGAGCTGCGAGTTCATGCAGTGAAAGTAGGACACGAACAAGAGGCCAATGGTTCTTGAGGCATCAAAGAAGAGCAGGAATCCAGCCAAGAGGTCAAGGAGAAGCCCACACCAGTGTACCACCAGCAGGCTTGTCAGCTCCTCGGACAACACCAGCCTGCAGACACAGGAACAAACGGCCAGGGCCAGTCAGCTGGATCACCCAGAGCACAAGCATCAGGTGCTTCAGCAACCTGTCCCTGACGAAGGATCTGCCCACCAGTGGGTTATAACAATTAAGCCCCAAATGCAGGCAGCCATAAGAATATTCTGCATTGGAGCTTTCCAACCCCTTGACATTTCCGGGTGTCCGTTTTTTCCCCCAACAAGCCCTGTACGATGAGTAAGGCCCAATCTTCTGGGATAACAATCGACTGGAAAGTATGCTTGAGGAAGCCAGCTCCTCACGGACATCATAGAGCAGAAGCAGGAAAAGGTGAGCCTGGGACTAGGCATGCAGCTCACCGGAGCCGGGGCTTGCCTAGCGTGCATGAAGGTCTGCTCCCCAGCATTTCACAAAGCTGGGTGTGGTGGTGCACACCTGTAATCCTAACACTTGAGAGGCAGAAGCAGTTAGGTCAGAAAGTTCAGGGCCATCCTCAGAGAGCTGGAGGCTTGCCTGAGATGGAGGATACCTTTTCTCAAAAGAAAAAGAACAGGCTCATTTTTTAAAGTTGACTGCTTTGGGCTGGTAACATGGTTAGGTACTAAGCCTAGAGATCTGAGTTTGATCCCTAGCACCCACAGGTGGGAAGCAGAGAAGCAACTCCTGCACGCTGTCCTCTGACCTCCACACATAGGCTGTGGCACATGTGTGCAAGTGCACCTATAATCACATACAACAGATACATGTAAAAATGAAAATGTAAAAATGAGTGGCTGGTTGAGTAACAGGTCAAATCTCAGCACGTGGAAAACAGAGGAAGTGGGAAAGAACAAGTGAGAGAGACTCAGAAGGAAGGAAAGACCACAGATGAAGCTGCCTGTCAAGCAGAAACAGCATCACCTCTTTGCCAAACTGTCTGACGAGCTCCTACAGAAGACTACAGTTACACGGCCTTGAATCCTAGCAGAGGCAGAGGAGCTCTGAGTTCAAGGCCAGCATGATCTACATAGTAAGGTCCAGACCAGCCAGGGCTACATAGTGAGATCCTGTCTACAAAAAATTAAAAAATAAAAAGAGTTGGGTTGGGCTGGAGAGATGGCTCAGTAGTTAAGAGCACTGACTTCTCTTCCAGAGGTCCTGAGTTCAATTCCCAGCAACCACATGGTGGCTCACAACCATCTGTAATGGGGATCTGATGCCTTCTTCTGGTGTGTCTGAAGACAGTGTCAGTGTACTCACATACATAAAATAAATAAATCTTGAAAAAAAAAAAAGAGTTGGGTCAGGGCTGGGGTGGTTGCCTTATATGCATGAGACCTCAGGTTCAATCCCCAGTACTGACAAAATATGATTAAAAATAATAAATTAAAAAGGAAGAGTTGGCAAGGCAAGGACGCAAGAAGTTCCCACTGCCACTCAAGGTAACTAACTGCTGGGTGCTACTGTATGCTGGGTGCTGCTGGGTGCTATTGTGTGTTGGGTACTGCTGGGTGCTGGCTCACTGACCAAGTATGCTACTACTATCAACTTGCACAGGCTGAAGTCATCTGGAAAGAGGAAACCTTAACAGAGGGATTGCCTCCAACACTGCCTATCAGAAAGTCTTTGTTTTTTTTGGTTTTTCCAGACAGGGTTTCTCTGTGTAGCCCGGGCTGTCCTGGAACTCACTCTGTAGACCAGGCTGGCCTCGAACTCAGAAATCCGCCTGCCTCTGCCTCCCAAGTGCTGGGATTAAAGGCGTGTGCCACCACTGCCCGGCTCCCAGAAAGTCTTTGGGGGTATTTTCTTGATTAATAATTGATGTGGAAGGGCCTGGTCAACTATGCACAGTGTCACCTCTGGGCAGACGGTCCTCGGTGGTATAAAAAAGCAAGCTGACACGGCTGGAGAAATGAGCTGACCGTGAGGATTACTGGCTGCTCTTCTGGAAGACCCAAGCTTGGTCCCAGCACCCACATGGTGGCTCAAAACTGTAACTCCATTCTCAGGGGATCTAATGCCCTCTTCTTGACTCCATGAACACCAGCCACACATGTGGTACATAGACATACATGCAGGCAAAACAGTTATATGCATAAATAAAATTAAGTTTTTCTTTGTAAAACAGAAAGTGAGCAAACCATGAGGAACAAGCGAGTAAGCAGCAGTCCTCCATGGTCTCTGCATCAGCTCCTGCCTCCAGGTTCCGCTCTGTTGAGTTCCTGCCCTGGTTTCCCTCAAGGATTGGGATGGGCTGGATGTGTGCCCAAATAAACTCTCACAAGTTGTTTTTGGTCGTGGTCTTATCACAGCAATTGAAAGCAAAGTTGGCCATTAAGTCACCTAATTCTGATGCCATTAAGTCACTTAAGTCTGATGCCTTTCTCTTTTGACCATTTACAGCACAGAGTCTCCAGATGTAGTTAGGCCCCATCTTTCTTTCTTT